AAATAGATTAGTTTTTTTAACAAACTCAGATTGTGTGTTATAGAATACTACCTATTAAAATTATAATATTAATGTCTTAACATAAAAATAAAAAGCTATTAGTTCCAAGTCCAATTTCCGCTTTATAACAGAACCATATATATATATATATATATTCAATGTTGAAGTAACGAACCATTTTAAGTTTACGACCGATTTCAAAAAATCTATTTCACAAATTTTAGAGCCTATATGTATCTACTCCAATATTATAGATCTCGAATCAACAATTTGCTACCGACGGATATTGCGCCGTACAGACCTGAACTGAATGATGGTGTTGCCCGAACGACCGGTGGACGATAAGAACCGCATTACGCCCATCAGAGCGAGAAATATGATGAAGTCGTGACCGCAGGCAACCGGACACCCTCCTTCGGTGGCTGTCCCCAAACCACCGATACAGGTGCAGTTACTGTAGGCCTGCGAGACCCAACGAAGATAATATTTTTATTATAAAAGATAATATTATTGTCATCTTGACGTTGAAGGCGTAAACGAAAGTCTTTTAATTCACCTTTACGCTACCATTGACGATCGTCTCCAGGGTACATCCCGCGTAGCATGGCGAGTAGAACGTGGTGGATCCGTCAAACGAACAGACAGGATTGTAGTTCATCGATTTTCCACAGTTGCAGCCCACATTGCAGTCCATTGTCAAGTTCCATCTGATCGGAAACCGGTAAACATATAATTAGTATTTTGCTTATAAAATATGTAAACACAAGGTAGTTAAATATATGGGTAGATATACAATGTACCAACAGACAAACTCACTAAACAAGCTATAGAATATAAATAATAAATAATAWTTTATCCTTGCAAAACGGTCTATATCAAACAACACTATAAGCCGAACTAGAATAATCATTAGAAAAAAGTCATGTGACTGAAATTACGATATTGCATGCCACTTAAAGTTACTGGCATGATGGAAATTCATATAACTTTTAACTTTAGGAGCATTTAATTTTAAAAATTATACAATTCTATATCGGGGTATCTCGGTTTTGGTGTACTTACCTCATGGGGAATGGGAAATCGACATATTACATGAAATTCTATTTTACCTATATGATCTTAAAATTTTGAAAATTTTGAAAATTTGCTAATAAGATTAGTGAGAGAAAAGTTGACCAACGCGAAACAGTTTTTACGTCAATTTTGCCATGTTATTTACGTTTGTATAAGGCGGAGACCACACATCGTGTGGATACGACTGGAATTAATTTTATTTGCGAAGGTAACGGAACTAGAAATTTGCTTACTAACGTTTTGTCCGCGTTCCACTGCCCGTGCAAGTCTTCTGCCGCGCACCCGAGAAAAATGTATGCTAAGTGACCAACCACCTCCAAAGCTTCCGCTATGAAGTTCCACATGGCCAGGGACCTTGGCGATGGTTTGAATTTGGATATGACCAAGCCGGACGTCACAATACCCAAACCAGAACTCAAAATGCCTATGGCGCCCGATGCAAAGTTGGAATTTGCCGCCGTCTGTCTGAATTGGGTCTCCATGTACTTAGGCATGAACGTCCAATATCCAATTAAGCCCAACACGAAGAACGAATTGCTTGCCGAATTAAACACCAGTATTTTGTTTGACAAAATACGTTTTAAAGACGTTTTGAAATCTGTGAAACCGTCCAATTAATCGAAATATTGTTAATACAATAAATTAACATTTAAAATAATATTAAATCGCATGCACTATGTACGATCTATATATATATTATGTATATACTCGTATATTTTTGGTACACATACACGTGTTTGCTATGATATCCGAAAAATAAGATTCCCTGACCTCCTGGACCAAATAATTCTTGTCAGGTTTTATTTTAATATTTCTGAATATTCATATTTTTTACATGTTAACATCTTACTTCTTATCGTATCGGGATATTTTTTTTTWAAATTATTACAACTTTTATTTATTGTTAAAGATGTCATCCGAACAATCCTATCCTGGACATAACGTTATGAGTTTGATAATATTACATCAGGAATGTTTAGACTTACCGGTTAAAACAAGTTCTTTTTTTTCTTCCGGTTCTTTTAACTTGCGAAT